GTTTGGGGATTGTTAAAGGAGGTGAGCTAAATAGGAATGACAACAGATAAGGAGTCCCCCATCTTTCCTAAACTCTTGTCACAGACAGGAGAATAATCGCCCAAAACTATTTCCTGGAAGACTTCATTTCCCTTATGGTACCAACCACTCTCGTAGGAGAGAAAAACAGAAGCACAGCTTGCCTTGTTGCCCCCATTTCTCAGGACACATAAAGGAGTATTCATTTAAAGGATGGGGAGGGGTGTAAAATATATAATTTTACATCAGACAAAGTCAAAAGCAGAATAAAAGAACAATTTTCTTTCTTTCATGTATTATTAAACTATAGTTTAATGATGGCAGAATAATTAGCTCTCTTTATGATGAATTATCTTCATCATGGTATAGGAACAGAAAAAGGGTCTCTTGACTTGGACCAAACTTGGAAAACTTGGAAAAACCAAGGTAATCTCCCTGTTCCCAACATCCAATTCACTTTACTGGAAGAATTCTTCAACTGAGAGTCAGGAGAAGTACATTCTAATGTAGTCTTTACAATTTACTTGCTACATGACGTAGGGTGAATTCATTTTGTATCCCCTTCAATAACTATAACACAAGTCCTTGTCTACAAAAAGCTTTTAAAGGATCTTATTTAAACATCACATTAGAAGTATACTGTTATAGAATTATTAAGCTTGAAATGAATTGCTTAGTTACTTTTCCTCCAGCCATCTCTTTTTCTACTTGCTCTTTACTACTCCACTACACCACCACTGCCACCACCACCACCACCACTATATTCTCTATTTTGTCTACTTCCTTCCAAATTTTTGTTGCAAGGTATGAAAGGATCATGTTTGGCATAAGCAGGAATTAGTTGGAGGATTTTGAGTTGTATTTCCTCCTGATTCCAGGTTCCCTTCTCCCTGATTAGTCCCCTATGCACTTCTTGTACATGACAAAAATGTTGATATTCAGGATCAAGTAATCAGACATGATCTTCCCATCCTCTTGTATCTTGCCATTGCAGTACACGGTCTGGTCCTTAGGGAGCAATGTTGTTATGCCCCACTGAGCTGGACCGTTAAATATAAAGCGGGTGCTTCTTTCCTTCATCCACCTCCATCAGAAATGCCTCCAGCCCTTCATCACTTGGTTTCACCACTTTCAGGGTGAGGTGAATAGTTGTACTAGGGTCGAACCATTAGTGGGACAACTTTTTTTCAGGGTCTAGGGCCTTGGAGCCCAAGAGGAGCATCTGATTTTCTAATGGGACCTTGATTTTACAACTAATCTGTTTATTAATCTTCTTTACCTTGTCATACCTCTGAGCAGTGAATCTTATTAGCTCTTGTCCTGAGGAATGTACATTCACCTAGAGACAAAGAACAAAGGAATAGATATTTTAAAAGCTCATGACTTGCTTCTTTCCACCTTTGAGGTCATTAATCAGGTTAACATATATATATATTCTTTTCATCTGAAATGCCCTTCCCCTATCTCTGATGGTCAATATGTTTCCCATCATTTAAGATCCAACTCATATGCCACTAGTCCCCCATGAATCCCTTCCTTGATACCCCCAGTCAGAAATTGTCTTTCCTTCCTCAGACATTTTGTGCCTCTGGAGGAAGCATTTTATATCTCTTGGATGCACTTACAATGCTCTTCTTTTATAATCATAATTTGTAGGTCTGTCCACTGAATTACACTAATTTGAGCTTAGCACAGTGCCTGTCACATAGCAAATAGGCTCTTAATAAATGTGTATTGACTGACTGACTAATCTTAAGGCAGAGACTGTTCATTTGTATTTCCCTCAGTGCCTAGCACAATGCTGTGCTTAGAAGAGGTCCTTAAAAGGTCTGTTAAATTCATGATGCCATTTCCTCTCCCTGGACTGACTTCTGCTTCCTTTCATTCAGAAAGCCTTATGAAGCTTTTAGTATGTGCCATCACTGAGATTATGTCAAAAAAGAAATATTTCCCGCCTTTGAAGAGCTCTGCTCCACTAATCATGGACTCATAGATTGTTAGAACTGAAAATATCTTTGGAAGGAGATTGGTAGTGCCAATCTCCATCATTTTGTAGAAAAGAAATATAAATGCAGCCAAGACAAATTCAGTCAATCAGAATTTATTAGGCGCTTACTATAAGCCAGGCAGTGTGCTAAGTGTTGAGAATAATGAGGCAGCCAGCTGGTGCAGTGGGTAGAGTCAGGGAAGACCTCAGTTCAAATCTACCTTCAGTTACTTACCAGCTATATGACCCTGGACAAGTCACTTAACTGCTTCCTACCTCAATTTCCTCAGCTGTAAAATGAGAATGATAAAAGCACCTGCCTCTCAGGATTATTGTGAGGATAAAATGAGATAATATTTGTAAAGCATTTTACAAACCTTAAAGTGCTATATAAAAGTTAGCAATTATTATTATTATTATTATTATTATTATTATTATTAGAAAGACAAGAAAATCAGGCCCTGTCCTCAAGGAGCATACATTCCAATGGGGGAAGCAACATATAAATAGCTAAGTACTTAGAGGATATATACAGAGGAGATTAAGGTAATCTGAAAGAGGAAGGCATTAGGAACTAGGGGGACTAGGAAAGGCCCCCTCAAAATCATACACCAAGTTTGTGGCTAAGCTGTTACTTAAATTCAGGTCTCTTGGCTCCTTGACTAGGGCTGTTTATCCTCCACCAAGCACTTCTGTCCAAACCTGTCCCTTTTTCTAGGAAGCACTCCCTGAATAACACTCCATTCATATTGCCCCCATACTGTCTTTGTTTAAACATTGTTAGAGCTCTTCTGGAATTATCTTCAGAGCAAGCCACACAAGATGGCCATAAGGTTGTTTGTGAGTGAAAATTGGATCCCTTGATTTGATTACCCACTTTGTTTATCTGATTTGTCTCAGAATGTCTTCAGGAAGTTTCCAAAAATCAAATTCATTCCCTGAAAGATGGAGATTTACCACTATTGAGGCTCCTTCGAGGAATATGTGACTTTAAAAAGATTTCCAAATGAAGAGTTACAAATTGGCTTTGAGCAATGGTAGCATCATTGGAGTGCATTTTAAGCCTCCCTGGGTACAACCTTGAAGGTCAATGCTTATCTGAATGTTCAGGTTCTAATCTAATTAATGTTTTTTTCACCTCCTCAGTGTCACTTGCATCATGCTCAGCTACAATTCTTGCTCTATGTTGGTCTAAACTCTTATATCTACACCTGATGCAGTTAAGAAGCCACTTGGAGTCAGAAAGAACTGAGTTCAAATCCTGACTTATACTTAATTTTTCTCATCTTCACTTTCCTCACCTATCTCACAAGGTTGTTGTGAGGATCAAAAGAAATAATATATTTAAAGTACTTTGTAAACTTTAAAGCATGATGAGGCTTTTTTTATAAACTAGCTAATGCTAGTCCTGAGAATTATGCCTGTTACTGTTCTTGTGTCTGCCTGCCTCAAATCTCTCTCCACTCCAATCTAACCTTCTGATTTTCCTAAAACACAGGTCCAACCATGTCATTCCCCTGCTTGATAAACTTCAATGGCTTCCTATTACCTCCAGAATCAAATGCAAAATGCTCTGTTTGGCATTCAAAGCCTTTCATAACCTAGCCCCCTCCTACCTTTCCAGTCTTCTTTTTTTTTTTTTTTGCTAGACAATGGGGTTAAGTGACTTGCTCAGGGTCACACAGCTAGTGTCAAGTGTTTGGTCTGAGCTGAATTTGAACTCAGGTCCTCCTGAATCTAGGGCTAGTGCTCTATCCACTGTGCTACCTACCTGCCCCCTCCAGTCTTCTTAACACCTTGTTCCCTGCCACACACTCTTCAATCCAGTGACTCTGGCCTTCTTGCTGTTTCAAGAACAAGACACTTCACTTCTCAATTATGGGTATTTCTTCAGGCTGTTCCCCATGCCTGGAATGATCTCTCTCCCCATCTCTACCTACTGGCTTCCCTGGCTTCCTTTCAGTCCCAACTGAAATTCCATCTTCTATAGGAAGCCTTCATACATTGCCAGTGGTCAACCCTGAAAGCAGACTTCTTTCCCCACTCCAGTGATCCCTAGTTGAAGTTTGGAAATAAAGTTATGTTTAAGACAGCAGAGTAACTGATTCTTCTATGTTAATCCATGTCCTTCCTCTCATTTAAAAACTCAGTTCAGAACTCTTCTATTCCAAGAAGCCTTCTCTGCTAAATATCTCAAGTCTAGAACCTCATCATCACCCCACCCCAGTTCATAAAGGTATCTCCCCTTGTCTTAAGGCTTTGTCATACACACACACACACACACACACACTGATTTACAGAGTAACAAGAGCCGTTAGGTGCCATCTCTGAAGCTGAGAAAGCATAGAATTAGGAATGAACCTCACTCCCAGACTTTTATCCTAAGTGGCTGGGAAGTTGGGGGTGGAGAGAGAGAGTGGAAATTCCCCACCTTAGTTGGCTTTATGTCAACCTTTTGTCTGGTGCTATTCTCATCAAGCAATTTACTTTCAGTTTTTTCAAGTGAGGGTTGGGGGAGAAGAATGGAGAGAGAGGGAAAAGGAAACAAGAAAGATCATATAGAGTATCATTCACTTAAAGGGCTAGCTTTCTCCACGTGGTGAATCTCTGAAGTTCTCTGCCAAGGGAGTGGAGAGGGGACAAAATTCATCTGAAGATTATCTACTGGTCCACATGGAAAAAGGCAGCCCCACATTCCTCCATTCTAGCTTTTACCCCCAAGGTCCAAACAATGAGGACCTTTCTCTTAGGCTTGTCCTTTCCAATCACCCTCACCCACATTGGTTCAAGTCTATCTCATTTGGAAAAGTTTCCCTGATTGATCTCACTTGGCTCAGATATATGATTCTGGAACCCTTTAGCACTTAGGAAAAAAATTTACAATATTCATTTGTGCTTGTTTTGATGATTTTTAAGTATCTTCAGTGACATTCATGTGGCTCTCCCCTAACATTCCACTATGTTCATGGAGTCAGGATGTCTGTCTCCCTTTTCTTTAAATTACCCACCATACCTTCAGGTTAAGACTGTGCACACAGGATGTATACAATGGGATCAAAGAATCCAAAGCTAAAAAGGATCTTAACCATCTAATCTAGCCACTTCATTTTGAAATGGACGGGCCGAGAGTAACCAGACACACGCCAAATTAGAAAATAGAGAGCATTTACTGGAGCCGGCCGGCGACTGTCCCCTGGATGCAATCCTAGGAGAGCAGTCCCAAGCAAGGGAAATAACAAAACTTTATACCCAGCAGTTTACAGTTGTGGATTTAGCAATCCTTTGAGGTAGAGGAATTTACAATTGTAGATTAGGATCCTTTGAGGTAGAGGAATTTACAATTGTAGATTAGGATCCTTTGAGGTAGAGGAATTTACAATTGTAGATTAGGATCCTTTGAGGTAGAGGAATTTACAATTGTGGATTAGCGATCCTTTGAGGTAGAGCAGTTTACAATTGGGATTAGCGATCCTTTGAAGTAGAAACTGAGGAGGTTAGGCTAGGGGGTTGTTTTTTTTTTTTTTTTTTTTTTTTTTTTTGTGACAACTCAGTCCACTTCAATTTCATAGATGAGGACATTGAAGCCCAGGAAGGTTAATGGATTTGTCTAAGGTGAAGCAATTGGTATGTGGCAAACCCAGGTCCTCTTACTACAAATCCAATGATTTTCCCACTATTTCTCTCTATATGTTACTAAATGATTGATGGAATGGATGATTGAAATGATTGATTTCAATGTGGCAGGGAAGGATGGTCTGGATAGTCTGGAAAGGAAACAAATCTTTAAAAATTTTCTTGAACATTCTTGAGGATTTCACAAAGACCACCACCACCACCCCCATCAATCTATTCATCCATCCTGTTCAGCTGTCATTTAGATGGCTTCTCAGTCCAGTATAATGATGGTGACTCCCACACTTTCCCTGATCCAGTCACTCTCTTTCTGCCTTCCTCTCCAAGTCTCCTACTAACATCTAAGAGCTGAAAACTTCAAACAAGACAGATGTTTTACTACTTTATTTGGAAGTGGTACTGAGCAGAAGATGAAGAAGTATGCAAATTGTACAATATTAACCAACTCACTAAACCTCTTTGAATCTTAATCTCTCTATCTGTCCACGCAAAGAAGGCTAGATTATAAGAATCCCAGGAGTGGCTAGATTTTAAGAATCTCAGCATCTTAGTGGAGATAAGATGGATCTTATATATAGAAAGTCTGTGGGAGGGATCTAGGAGTGGCCAGTAAACTGGGGTGAACAGAGGACCTGGACCTCAAGGCCAAGGGAGAATGGAGCCTAGCTAGGATTAAGGGTGGGAAATAGCCAGGGGCCATAGGTAGGTAAGACAATGGAGGGGAGATTGGGTGTAGCCACATGAAAGACCAGTTGATGGGATTATAGCCTCAGGCTAACGCCAGAGATTTGGCCTTGTGGGAAAGTCTGGGGGTTTTTCCTTTCTGGGGCCCAGATCCCAACCCCATCACCTTCAAGCCTTGGTGCTTGGACAGCAACCCTAACTGCAGAGCAAGAAAGGAGGGGAAGGTGGAGGCTTACATACCTTCCAGTCTTGTCTGGAGAGCTTGGGGTTAGGCAGCTTCCCCATACGGGCCACCAAAATGATGCAGTTTAGGGGTTCAGAGGTCCTGGGACCCCAAAATCACAACACACTGGTCCTGCCCCAAAGAATTCGACCCAAGCCTTCTTGCAGCCAAAGACAAGGTTTATTAGAACATCTGTCATATTGGGCAGACTCTTAAGGAGTCTGAACATTAGTAAGCTATTGGCTAGATTTTAAGAATCAGAGCAGTGGCTAGATTTTAGGAATCTGAGCATCTTAATGGAGTCAAGAGGGACCTCATATAGCCATGGGGAGGTAAGACAATGGAAAGGAGATTGGGTGTAGCCACAATGAAAGGCCAGTTGATGGGATTATAGCCTCAGGCTAAGGACAGAGATTTGGCCAAGTGGGAAAGTCCAGGGTTTTTCTTTCTGGGGCTCAGATCCCAACCCCATCACCCCCAATTCCCAAATTGGGCCAGTTCTGTACTGGCTCCCTGGGAGGGGGGGCAGTTCTGGACTGCCACTCCCATGCAATGCACGCATGTCTCCAGCTTGAGAGAAATTAAAAACATGGACATGACCTAATTTTGTTTGTCTCTTAGAACAAAGGTTGATACTATGTAGAGAAAATATATTAACATGTGGAAGGAACAAATCCAGAAATATCACAGCGGGTAAAAACAGAGAGTTAAATCTGAGAGTTCCTCCTGGGGATTTCCTGATCCAAAGTGTGCTCAGCTTCTAATAATATTCACCATTTCTAGGAAACTGAAAGTTGCATTGCTTTTCCTCCTCCTCCACCTCCTCCTGTGTGGCATACAGCATCCCCAAACTACTCCACAGAGATTTTCCAGGTGAAGGGGTGCTATAGTTCTCTTGCTCCTCATCTCTTTAAGTCGGGACTCACACTGAAGTCTTCATTACCATTGCAATATTACTTATTCTATATTCTCTAACAAAGTTGAAGGGGTTGGGATCTGGGCCCCAGAAAGGAAAATCCCTGGACTTTTCCACATGGCCAAATCTCTGACTTTTGCCTGAGGCTATAATCCCATCAACTGGCCTTTCATTGTGGCTACACTCAATCTCCCCTCCATTGTGGACCTCCCTATGGCTCCAGGCCACTTCTCCATTCTCCCTTGACCAAGTGGTCCAGGTCCCTGGAATTCTATTACCTCATAAACTACTTGGCCACTCCTAGATCCCTCCCATAGGCTTTCTGTAGATAAGGTCCATCTTATCTCCATTAAGATACTTAGATTCTTATAATCTAGCCAAGGCTGGGATTCTTATAATCTAGCCACTGCTCAGATTCTTAAAATCTAGCCACTGCTTACCCATAAGACTCCTTAAGAGTCTGCCCAATATGATAATGTTCTAGTAAACCTTGCCTTCGGCTGAAAGGCTTGGGTCGAATTCTTTCGGGCAGGACGTGCGTGTTGTGAATTTGGGGTCCCAGCACTCCTGAACCCCTAAACTGCATCAAAGCCATTCAGGGATAGGGTAACACATTTGGGGTTAGAAGGGATTTTAGAGTACCAAATCTAACCCCTTTACAGATGAAAATGGTGAGGCCCAAAATGGTGAAATGATTTCCCAAGTAGTCACACTCGTAATAAACAGCAGAACTAGGATCTGAATCCAAGTCTTTTGACTTCAAATACAGCACTCAGCAGTGCATCATTCTTGCCCCAAACATAATAGGCACTTAATAAATGCTGGTTTGCATTTCCCTGCCCCTTCCACCTCCCATTTCTCAGTTACCCTTCAACTAACTCCAGTAAGGAAGCAGAGAAAAAGTGTGGAGGGGGACTTGAAGGGAGGGACAGGGAGTGATGGTAGCTGTCTTCAAATATTTGTAGGAATGCCACCCAGAAAAAAACATTACAATCATTTTGTCTAGTTTCAGAGTAGTGCAAGATGGAAAGCACAGAACAATTCAATAAGATCCAGCATCTGTATAGTACTTTAAGGTTTGCAAAGTGCTTAGTAAACATTATCTCATCTCAATAGCAATAGCTATTCTATCCCAACTCCCAGGATGACTTCTTCTGCTCCAGAAACCTTCTCTCAGTGCCAACATACACCCCATTGGCGTCCTCCTCCCACTGAGTTTCTCTCTATCTGAAAAAGTTCCCACACCAGCCAAGCTCACTTCAGACCTCAGCTCAGCCCCTGACTCTCTCCCCACTACTTTTCCACCTTCTCTCCTCATCCTCCTTTTAAAGCTCCCTTTTGTCTATTGTATTCCCCCATTAGAATGTAAGCTCCTGGAGGGCAGGGACAGACTTGTTTTGAGAAGGTTTTTTTTTCCCCTTTGTTTTAGTGGGGTGGAATTTTTTTTATTTGTATTTCTAGCACTTAATGAAGTACCTAGAGCAGAATAAGTACTTAATAAATATTTACCTAGCTAGTTAGCTATCTGAGGCAACTAGGTAGCACAGTGGATAGAGGCCTGGCTCTGGAGTCAGGAAGACTTGAGTTCAACTCAGAACTCAAATGTAGCCTAAGTGACCCTGAGCAAGTCTTTTAACCTCTATCTGGCTCAGTTTCTTCAAGTGTAAAATGGCATTGATAGTAATAATAATACCTCCCAGGGTTATTGTGAGGATCAAATGAATTCATATTTGTAAAATGCTTAGCACAGTAGGCACTTAAAATTCTTTCCATTCCCTATCTACTTCTTACATGTGTTTCTATGCTATTTTACATTGCTATTAAAGTACATGGCCACTAACTCTGACTTGTGTGCAAGCCTACAAGTGT